TTATAATCAGTCACAAGAACGTCGAATCTGAATCACTTGAAAAAAACACGGGGGTGCTTAACTTTTTTTCAGGTGTATATATCAATATCCATTACATTTTTAACGAAATTCTTCAGCTTTATGTACCTCTGATACAAGTAAGAATGTTCAAAAAATGCTTGAACATCTGTTGAGATTTTGTTGTTAAACGCAGAGCTATACAACGAACTATCTATATTCTTCTCATTGGTATTGAAACCCAAATTTTTAGAGTTATAAGCCCTTTATACTTGTTGCTGCGTCAGCGGAAACATCTCTTCCGAACTGGTATTAAAGATGCTATGAATAATAGATATATAATATACGAATAAGCAAATCGCGGGACAACCACAACAGATATAAAGTCGCGATTGGACTGAATGTATAAGAATTACATTTTGACATTTTTTTCTGAATGGTGTAGATAGTGTGATGCCACCGAAAACTGATTGTTTTTGGGACGCAAAATTTTCATTTACTCAGATCATAAAGATGTGTTCCTATCGGGGATTTAGAATTTGTAAGACGGAGATATCTCTCTTACTTTATGGCGCTGGAAACTAAGGAATATGGATCAACTTGAGATCCCATGACCATCCAGAAAGAGACTTACAATAAGTCATACCCCTTCCACGGTATGTAAAGTGTGGCATCTTATTACAGGTTAGAATCCACGGATACAAAGTTCAGTGGCAAAAGCAGTTCACGTGCCCTACGCTAAATAATCTAGAAATATCTTCATCTGGATAAGCAACACAAGTCACGTGTACACAAACTGCTTCCGTGACATATATATATATTGAATCATCACATACCTCAAGCATTTGGAGGATGAAATCGATATTCATGCTGTTCCATTGAACGAATCGTTAAATCGCCGATAACATGCAGCGCCTGTGGATTTATGTGCGATCAGATTATTGAAGCGGACGCTGGATAACCGTCGTCCTCGTAAAATAGATTAATTATAGAAAGCTTTTAGGGAGGAATGGTGTGCTTTGGACATGACAGCCTTTCGATAGTTTTACAAACACTGCAACATGGATTGTGACGAATCCGTGACTATGCATGATAGTTTTAATATAACGTAGTTAACTTCTATATAATTTCATTGTTTAATAAGACCTAATATTTACCAATAAACAATATTAATGTTAGCTTTAGAGAAAATTAAACATTTATGGCTAACATAATAGATAGTTAGTTCTAAGTTTATGACCAACTGGATTCTGTTTAAGCAAATCTGAATTCTCTGTATATTTCTTTACCTGTAATCTTTGTCGCTGTCAAAGGTCGGTTTTTGTTCATTATCTTGAACCGACTTTTACCGCAAATATCAAATACCTGATCTATTTGAGGTAGGATCAAGTGTCTCTTATCATATTTTAAACAAACAATCCAACTCGTCTTTCTTCATCCCAGACGGGGTATAGCCTAGTGATTAGCGTGCCAGGCTAGAGATTGAAAGGCCCAAGGTTTGAGCCACGATATGCTACTAAAGAAGTTCCAGAGTTTCAGCTGTAGTTATGTTATAAGAACTGCACTCAACCCTAGTATTTATTTTAAACTCTGACAAAGCCTCTTGTGACAACGGTGCTCTTTGGGTTGGAAAAAATCAATACTCTTTCACTCCTTTTTTTATCATTGATGGTCCTCTTTGAGTAACTAATTTAACTTCTTGGTGTTTCAAGACGGTTTAAACAACTTGTAATAAAATATAAATGGTATAAAGCAGTACTTTCGTTCACTAATTCTCGTGTTGAAGTATTGTTTTCTCCTGTGATCTTGCAGTAAAACTCGCCCTTGGAAAACACAATTCACACATATTATGTGGTATGTAAAACTGAAGCACACAGATATTGTATTTACCACGAATAATTATTGGCTTTTCATTTTACAACCTGAATATGCATGAATTATAGAATAAATGAGTAAAAAAATCACCTAACGTTCAACAAATTTACCACCGTTAATTTCAAAACGACAACAATATAAATTATTTAGTATATTAAACTCAACAATGAAGACTTTGTACCCTAAGTTTAAGACGAACATGACTTTCTGACCTAAATTTTTATATCTCTTTTCATTTTCGTGGATGTTACACAGTTATGATATGTATTTATGCAAGTGTTATCTTATCGTCACAATATAATACGTAAGCCTGATATTATCGCTTTCATTATCGACTTTTGGGAAATCCTAAATATTAAAAAAGGTTTACGAACAGAATGGATTCTAGACTAAAGTCGACAAAATCGTTTATAACTTACATTTTACACGTCCCCCACAGTACGTCTGTTTTGAAACGAAATTTCAAAGAAAGACGTGTTTACTCACAGTTTACCTTTATCCCCTGCCATTTTTTGTTAGATATGAAATTGGAAGATGACCCCAATCATAAAACATGATATCTTCAAACAGCCACCTAGCTTTCACTACCAACGTCACGCTTTTCTTCTATGTATGCAAGTCTGTTAAGTGTTTTAAACTTTCATAGTTTTGACAACAAAAATAAAACACAGATTTAACTATTGATAACTTTACAGAGGAATGGAAGTCCGAGTTATGAAGAGCGTTGGTTGGGTTCCATTATCTTTAGCACTACTTTTACTCGGTGGTATTATAATTGTCTATGTATGGGCCGTTATGCGAGAAGATGTCAGCGCATGGATACCGTATATAAGGTAATTGTTTTTTTCCATACTTTCAACTTTAACCTTAGTCGTTGACCCAAGATTTTTTGATTTTTTTTAGGTGTGAAGAGCAATACACGTTCCAGGTTTTACAATTTCTCTATTTACCTTAACGGGCAGACGATCAGTGATGTCCCTTGCTTAGATGCTACATTGACAGTTTCTGTCGCTTAGCAACCAAATGTAGTCTCTAGACCTTTTATTTAAATATTGTCGTGCAGTGTTGGTTAATATTGGTACATACCACACAACACTGTTTATTAACATATTTCCATCCAATGAAAAACGTGTCCGGACTGTGAATCCAAATTTGAAGCCGTGTTTGTGCTAAAAGTAGTGATAGTCAGTTCCCACTATTCAATCAGCCAAGAATAGCCCTATAGCTGGAGGTAAGTGCTGTTTGACTTGCTGCCTTACCTCTGGGCTATTAGCTCAAACTTAGGGACGGATATATACAGATAGTCCTTTGTGTAGATCTGCGCAAAAAATTGTAAAATAAAAACATTCCAACGAGATCAATATTCGAACGTTCATTAAATTTATTTCTGAAATGATGCAAAGTATAGAGGGAGATATAGCAGCAAGTTAAAGAAGAGAGAGAGAGGCGCTCTTTAACTTTCTTCAGTTCCTGGTTGAGTTTTTAGTTCGCATGCTCTCCCGCGTGGAACATTAATTCTTTCGGTGATTGGTCAGAACTGACATCCTTTAATAAGCTTTGATTTCTTACAAGTTATAGGCCTAGCAGTTAGGGTGCTCGACTCGCAATTCAACTATCGGGGCGTTTTAATGTGGTGATCAATCGCACTATTCGTTGGTAAAAGAGTAGCCCAAGAGTTGGTGGTGGGTGGTTTTGACTAGCTGCCTTCACTCTAGTCTAGCGCAGATAGCCTTCGTTTAGCTTTGTGCGAAATTATAAAAATATACAATACACGCTGTAAATTAAAAAAATTACACATGCGTGGTATTTCTCTTTTATCATGCTTGTGAGCCATTTTATGCCTCAGGGAACACTTGGGACATCTGTATTTGCATACAACACGTGTCTTCTTCACATCTAAACTTTTATTCATGAACTTAGCTGTATATTTTAACATAAGATGTTTTATCTCCTCTTACAAACACAAACTATTTATTAAACGTATCAATCAGTATAAGGTACTTCACATTTTTTATCTAGTTGCAAATAGTTGTTTTCAAATTTTCTTTTAGTAAAAATAATTCTTCAAATGTTTCTGTGCCCAAACTTAATAAGGATCTTAAAGCCCATATTATTACCCCCCAGTGGCACAGCAGTATGTCTGCGGACTTACAACCCTAGAATCCAGAGCATAGATAGTCCATTGTGTAGCTTTGTGCTTAATTACAAACAAACTTACATTATTTCTAAGAAATTATAATTGAACATAAAGAAGTATAAGTTATGATATGTTAACCACACCTCATCTGATATACCCGGCTGAGATACGACTGACATAGTAGTGGTCTAGGCGCTATTTATATCATCAACTTTCATGAACAACAAGTGTTACGATGGGAACTAGATTAAATAAGAGAAGTGTAATTATTATCACTTTATTTACGTCATTATGATATACAAGAAATTAGATATAAAAATCTGTATTAGTTAACCAAACTCATATCGCAGAAATTAATGTAACATATGGACAACAGGGACTAAGTGGGCCTTCAATACTTTCCTTGAGAAAAGTAGAAATTTAAGCCTATCCTTCATTTTTCAGGAAATCATTAATTCCCCTCTTGTAAAATGTTGGTCTCAACCATTACTGACAGAAACTCATTCCATAAGCCAGTCACACTTTTAGAAAAATAAAACTGTCTTAACTAGAGACTAGCCTGTCTTTTCCACATCTTAAACTTGTAACCTCTAATGTTATTATTTTCTGAGAACAGCAAAAATAAATCAGAGGCCTTTATCGTATCAGTCTCTTGATATATTCTTTTAAACTTCAATAAGATAGCATCTTATCATTCTTTTCTGAAAAGAAAATATGTTACACAATTTTAATTATTCTTTTAAGGTGTCTACCTTCTATCCCTGGAATCATCTTAGTAGCCCTTTTTTACATCCTTTCCAATAAGTCAGTATCCTTTCTTGGGTAATGAGACCAACAGTTAGCATATCATTCCAAGTTAGGCCTAATCGGTGATTTGTATATAGAGATAATCACATATTTCGCCATGTAATCAATGTATCTATAAAAGCACTCTAAACTTCTGCTAGCTAGCAACATAATGCTGCTTCAATGGCTTGAGTGACTTATCTACCACTATGCCAAAATACTTTTCTTCAGTCACGCTATTGAGAGGTTTCTCATTAATATTAAATGCGTGCTCTAAATTATGATAAACCAAAATAACCAACATTTTAACGCCATCTGCAAACTTTATTAGTTTATTTATGTACTTATTAATCATTAATGTAACTAAGAAAAATCAACGGCCCAAGCACTGACCCACGAAGCACTCCAGTAGAACAAGGGTTAAGTTTGTCTGGATTACATTAATAACAACCTTTTGCTTTCTCCCACCCTACACAACGAATATCTAGTCTTTCCGTGATCCATGCTGATGTAATTTTCTTAGCTAACCTTTGAGGAGACATGTTATCAGATATTTTTTGAAAATGTATGTTTACCAAACCTACGCCCTTTCTATCATCCAGATAATAAGCAATATACTCGATTAAAGATAACAGATTAGTAAAGAAATATATTTCTTTGGTAAATCTATCCTGGCTTCTATTTATGTTATCATGTTTCAATAAATACTTTTGCAATGCTTCTTTAACCATACTTTTTTAGAACATTTACTACTAAAAGTAAAAGTAACAGTCCCATACATTTCAGGAAAAATCTTACCGCCCACTTTAAAAATAAGAGTAACATTAGTAGCCTGCTCACCTTATATTAGCCTATCAAAAACAAGTATCACATATATGATTTTCTTACCACCCTTTAAAACCCCACGATGATTTATATAATTTTAACCTGGCAATATTTACGTGATGCTGGTTAATTTTAATACTTCCCATAGACTGTCCAGACTCAGGAATATTGCTGTAGCTATAACAATCCTTTCCGAGTCGACCAGGTGAACTTTAACTTTAAAAGGAGGATTAAGTTCACGATATTGAAAGATGTGCTAATCCAGTGACGTGTCACTATAGATGTGAACCATGGTGTTGTAGATGAATTATTCAAAACATATATGCCTGGCTCACAGTGAATCCCTGACCATTCAACGGTACAATATTCACTATGAATAGAATTTTGTATAGAGGATTATAAAAATATTTTGGTGCATAACATTTTTACATATTAAGATTGTTAAACAATGTAGAAACAAAAGACACCACCCTTCCAAGAAATGATCTTACATTGTTCTCCATAGAAATGAAATTAATCTACACAGCAAAGCATGTAGGACAACAAGGGGCTTCGAGATTGCACATCTAACCAACCTGGAGCAAAGACCTCATTCGGAAAGCGAAGGCTGTGGTTATGAAAGTGAACCAAATGATTGAAATATCATTGCATTGAATCTGTGCATAACTCTTGCTCTCGTTAACAATGTAATACACAATGATAAGGATAGCTGGAGAAAGTGAAGTCATAATAATACCGCCAGACCACACCTCTAAAACATCACATGTTTTCATGATAAGAATAGCTGGAGAAAGTGAAGTCATAATAATACCGTCAGACCACACCTGTAAAACATCATATATTTCATGATAAGGATAGCTGGAATCATAATAATACAGCTAAAATTTGACCTGTTACTGACTCAGTGGTAAATCTGCTGGCTTACATAGCTAAAAACCAGCTTTCGATACCTCTGGAGAGCAGAACACAAACAAACAACAACATAACAACAATCAAATCAAACGAGTCAAAACTTTAATAGCAATGGAATGGCAGTATTAAACAGGTATATTTGATACGATAATTTCAGTTGTTATTATTTTTCTATAAATAATTAAAACGCCCCCCAGTGGCACAAAGGTATGTCTTCGGACTTACAACGCTAGAAACCGGGTTTCGATACCCGTGGTGGTCAGAGCACAGACCATTGTGTAGCTTTGTGTTTAATTACAAACAAACTAAGAATTAAAGCTATCCGCGGAACTGTTGATAGGTTAAATAACCATGAAAAGTGGAGTATTTTAGCTCAAGGGAACTGGGAGGCAGAGGTGGATTCTATAATGAATAAATACATTATATTATTCATTAAATGAACTCTGCAGTCGAGATTGAGGTACCATAGATGCCCTTAAAAGTATTGTATTGTATTGTTTGTAGTTAAGCACAAAGCTACACAATGGGCTATCTGTGGTCTGCCCACCACGGGTATCGAAACCCGGATTCTAGCATTGTAAGTCCGCAGACATATCTCTGTGCCACTGGGGGGCGCCCTTAAAA